CCTCCTTCCCATAGGCAGACAGGTCTGAGCATGATAACAACTATGACCAATGGAGGCACCCTTCTAAGCCTACTGGTGGACATGGCTGCTGAGTTCTACCCTTCCCTGCCTCGATTCATCTACGATGTGGTCCCTGTGGCTGCCAGTATCATCACTGTCCTCCTGCCAGAGACCCTGGGCCAGCCACTGTCCAACATGGTAAAAAGGTGCAGAAGGACCTGGAGAGAAGGTGGGCTGCACACTCCCCTAACTTCAGAGTCATAGGAGCTCACAGCTCCTAAACCTAGTTTATTTTGTCATAATGGGCCAGATCAGGGGAGAGCAGGGACTTAGCCAGGGTCATGCAGCTGGGGATTGGAGCCAAGGCTGAAATCCAGGCCCCCTGGATCCTATTCTCACACATTGGCTGAGTCCCAGGAATCCTCCCTGAGACTCTCAGCTCTTGGAAATAGTGGGTGGTTTTGGATATAAAGTAGGACAACTGAGCACAGACACCTAAAAAGAATCCCCCAACTCTACTCCTGAATGCTGCTTCTCCTTCCCTCCCAGGTGGAAAGAGAAACTGGGGCAGCAGCAACAGGAACAGCAGATGGACACACTCCAAGCCTCCCAAGGACTGAGAAGGAGCAGAGGGTGGAGAAGAGGAGCCCTATATCTCTTGGAAATCCATGCCAGGAGGTGGGATGGAGAAATGGCAGCCAGTAGAGGACAGGGCCTGTGGTCTCAGAGAAACACTTCCCCTGGGACCCTCACTACTGGGCAGATCCACCCAAGCCCACTTCATTAAAAGTAACTATGGAGCCAGGCCTCTAGTCCCAGCTACTTGAGAGGCTGAGACAGGAGGATCGCTTGGGCGCAGGAGTTCTAAGGCCTATGCCAATGGGGTGTCTGCATTAAGCTCGGCATGATGACCTCCTGCAAGCAGGGAACCACCAGGTTGCCTAAGGAGGGTTGAACCACCCCAGGTCAGAAACAGAGCTCATCAGTAGTGGGATCACACCTGTGAACAGCCAGTGCACTCCAGCATGAGCAGCATAGCAAGACCCCATCTCTTAAAAAAAAAAAATGCACAATTTATCCCATTGTTCCCCTCTGACCCTTACGTAGTGGCCACTCCATGTTAGCCAACCCTTGGTTCAAGATGTCCTTCAGTGATTATCTGTGTAGAAAATCCAGTGGAATCTACAGAAATACTACTACAACTAAAACATGAGTTTAGCAAGGTTGCAGGTTATAAGATCAATATAAAAAAAGAATTGTGGCCAGGCATGGTGGCTCACACCTGTAATCCCAGCACTTTCGAAGGCCGGTGGGTGAATCAGCTGAGGTCAGGAGTTCGAGACCAGCCTGGCCAATATGGTGAAACCCCATCTCTACTAAAAATACAAAAATTAGCTGGGCATGGTGGCGGGCCCCTATAATCCCACCTACGTGGGAGGCTGAGGCACAAGAATCACTTGAACCCGGGAGGCGGAGGTTGCAGTGAGCCAAGATTGCACCACTGCAGTTCAGCCTGAGCAACAGAGCGAGATTCCGTCTCAAAAACAAAAAAAAAGACTTGTGTTTCTACATACTAGTAATAAACAACCAGAAATTGAAATTTAAAAAACAATACCACTTACAATAGCATCAAAAAATATAAGGAGACAGTAAAAAGATCAGTGGTTTCCAGGGTTTCAGAGGGAGAGGAGAGAAATGAGTGGGCCAGCACAGGGGATTTTTTTGGGCTCTGAAGCTATTCTTTACGGTACTATAATGGTGGATTTGTGGCATAATACATATCAAAACCCTCAATAACCTATAAGGTAAGTAAGAGCATTATCCTCAAGGGGAGGAAGGCTAGAAGATACAGCTAAGAAGTAGGCTTCCCAGCTACTTCGGAGCCTGAGGTAGGAGAGTCGCTTGAACCTGGGAGGCAGAGGTTGCGGTGAGCCGAGATTGCACCATTGCACTCCAGCCTCAGCAACAAGAGTGAAACTCTGTCTCAAAAAAAAGTAGGCTAGGAGATACTCTTGAACCCAGAGAGTTGGCTTGGCAGAATTCAGGGATATGTATACATACAGACACAAACACACACACACACACACACACACACCATCCTCCTTACCTTCCTTGACATTTTCTCTACTCCCTTAAAGGTTTTCTTTTGGTGCTAGTGAAAAACCTTACAAGTCTTGCTCCTCCTCTTCCTCCTCCCAATTCAGTCTTTCCTGGAAGGGTAAAAGGAACTAAAATGAAGGAAGCCAAGAAGGAGGCTTTGTTTTGGGCTATTCCCTTCCCTGAGGCAGGTGCAAACATCTGGAAACTGGAGGCCAGAAGAATGTAGAGGTGGGGGCAATAGCCCCTCCTCCCTAGGCTGGGTCCTGGCTCAGGAGCAGTTTGCCACCTTACATCTAGGCCCTTGCCCAGGAAGTTCCACACACCCCCCCCCACCCACTAACCTTAGCTTTTCTGTTGCCCTTCTGGGCTTTTCTATAGCACTTCTAGACTTTACTGTAATCTGCCTCTAGAGAGCCCTGGACTGGCAGTAGTGGGAATCCAGAAGGAAAAACACAGCCGGGACAGTGCCTGAGGTCTGATCTCCTCCATCCTCCATCCTCAGTTCTTGCCTCCTCCCCAGCCCCTCCCTTCCCCTCCTGGGCTGGTAGGAGCCAGTGCTGATGGCAGTGGGGAGACTGCAGGAGAGCGGAATGAAGGATGGCCATGATCTGCATCCAGAACAGAACCCAGGATGCCCAGTGCCTGTTCTGGTGCTCACATCAGGAAGGACCTGAGGGTGCAGGCCGCGAGGTGCTCTGGCAGGGACTGTAGATTGGCCAGAGTGGGGTGGGAAGCAAGATGTAGCTGCCCAGAGCAACAGTTAACCATTCACCATGTCCATCTGCCCATCCAAGACCTGCTCTGGGCTAATGAGACCCTGCCCCGGGCCTAGGTGCCTGATTCCAGCCACATCCAGAGACAGGCATGCACTGTCCCAGCCCCAAGGAAGGGAGGAAGCGGGCTGGCATGACCCGCGCCTGGCCCTGCAGGGGGAAGGGGCAACCGTGCTAAGGCTAACCCAACACAGGTTCTGGACGGGTACTAGATTTGGTCTCCAGACACCCTTCTTGCCTGCCCTGATCCCATCCCTTAGCCTTGGCCTGCCAACCCCCCATCCATCAGCCCAGCCTTTAGACCCTGAACACAGCTCTGACCCACCCCCTAACTCCCCGCCTCTCAGCCTTGGCGCTGCTCCTGAGACCCTATCGCCAGGGTCAATCTCAAGGCCCCATTCCCCTGGTCCCACCTCAGGTGAGAAATCGAGGATCTGCACAACCTTCTCTCTCAGCTTCTTCACCTGCTGCAGCTTCACTTCCTGATCAGATGGCTGATTCAGGGCAATCTTCAACCTGAGCCAGGTGAGTGCCCCTTCTTCCACGTGGCCCCACCCCGTCCCTGTTGCCCCACGCCTCCCTAGTCTTTAACTGCCTCTCAGCCAAACTTGCACCACCACCAGGCACAGAGTTTCTGTTCATTACCTCACCAAGACTCGCTAATATCATTTCACAGGCCAAGGACATCTCGTCCAGCCCACTGGCCTCCCCTGGGCCAGGCTTCTCCACCTGATTTCTCCCTGGCCCATTGCTTGGTGTCCCTGTCTAGTATATCCTCCCACAATCCCAGAAGGATCTTGAGTCACTGGCCTGCAGTCCAGGGCCAACACCAGCATGGAATGAGTGAAACAGAGAAGCACCACATGGACTTACCTCTCCTGTCTGAGCCCTGCCTGATCCAGTCTTTTTTTTTTTTTTTTAGATGGAATTTCACTCTTTTGCCCAGGCTGGAGTGAAGTGGCACAACCTCGGCTCGTGGCAACCTCTGCCCCAGCTCCCCCCGACCCCCACCCAGGGTTCAAGCAATTCTCCTGACTCAGCCTCTGGAGTAGCTGGGATTATAGGCTCCTGCCACAACACCTAGCTAATTTTTTTGTATTTTTAGTAGAGACAGGAGCAGGGGGGTTCGCCATGTTGGCCAGGCTGGTCTCGAACTCCTGACCTCAGGTGATCCACCCGCCTCAGCCTCCCAAAGTGCTAGGATTACAGGCATGACCCACCATGCCTGATCCTGATCCAGTCTTTAACTGAAAGTTTGATATTTTGTTCATCCTGAACTTTTGCATTTTTATTTTAAAAATACTGCAATAAATATTATTTATCATGATTGTTGAGTTTTTTGGCATCCTCTTAAATTTGCACTTCACCTCACCCTAGTCCCACCCTGCCCTACACACACCCCTTCCTCAGCTGCCCACTGTGTAAGGGACATTGTGACCTTTTTATTTTGAGACGAAGTCTCTCTCTGTCGCCAAGCTGGAGTGCAGTGATGCAATCTCCGCTCACTGCAACCTCCGCCTCCCACGTTCTAGTGATTCTCCTGCCTCAGCCTCCCAAGTGGCTGGGACTACAGGTGCGCACTACCACACCCAGCTAATTTTTGTATTTTTAGTAGAGATGGGGTTTCACCATGTTGGCCAGGATGGTCTTAATCTCTTGACCTCGTGGTCTGCCCGCCTCAGCATCCAAAAGTGCTGGGATTACAGGCATGAGCTACCACATGCGGCCACGGGACGTTCAGTGACTTTCAGGACTAGCCCCCGCCAGGCTCTCTGGGCTCCACTTTATGTGCCCACTGCCCCAACTCCCAAACCCTGCATGATCTCTATCATAATCTTTATCTTGTAGAAACCTGATGGTTTGTTTATTTATTACTTGAGCAAAGATAACACTAGTACAAAGTCCTTGAGGCAGGAAAGTGCTTGGCAGGTTCTGGGAACCACAAGGCCAGTGTGGCTGAGAACAGCAGTGAGGAGTCAGAGGTAGGAAAAGAAGCTAAGGAGGAAGCAGGGGTTGCTCCTACGGGGACTTGCAGGTCATGATAAGGACTCAAACTATACTCTGAAAAAGCTGGAGAGTTGTCAGAGCATTTTGAACAGAAGAGAGACAGGATATAACTTACCTGTCAAAAGGAACGTTCGGAATGCTGCCTTCAGCATTCACGCTGTAGAAGGGCGATGGGCCTGAGACGGTGATCCAGGTGAGAGATTACAGTAATCCACTAGCAAGATCAGTGTTGCACTCTGGATTTTCAAATGGGTTAGATTTGGCATGTGAGAGAAAGAATGGAGTGGAGGGTGACTCCAAGGTTTTCGGCCTGGGCTGCTGAAAGAACCGGGTTGCCACCTGCTGAGATGGGCAAGGCTGCGGATAGAGCAAGCTTGGGGTTTGGGATGAGTCATGACTGACTGAGATGATTCCACACATCCAAATGGAGCTGGCAGGCAGCAATAATGACAGTGATGATAACAATCATAGCTCCAGCCGTAGTGCTTACTCTGAGCCAAGCACTCTTCCAACACTTTACACGTCTAAACTCATTTAATCCTCATCATGGCCTGGGATGTACAGCTACTAATATTAATTCCATTTTACAGAGGAGGAAGTATTGGATATACAAGGCAGGTGTTCAGAGGAGAGCCTGGGACAGACACACAGTCATCAGTGTGTGGGTGGCACAAGTTCACCTGGAAAGTGGGTAAGAAGGTCCAAACACTGAGCCCAGACACTCCAAAGTTTATAGCAGGATGGCAAAGAACATCAGCAAAGAAGAATATGGAACAAGCCGGGTGCAGTGGCTCATGCGTGTAATCTCAGCACTTTGGAAGGCCGAGGTGGTCAGATCACAAGGTCAAGAAATCGAGACCATCCTGGCTAACACGGTGAAACCCCATCTCTACTAAAATCTCTACTAAAAATACAAAAATGAGCTGGGTGTTATGGCCCATGCCTGTAATCCCAATTACTCAGGAGGCTGAGACAGGAGAATCACTTGAACCCGCGAGGCGAAGGTTGCGATGAGCCAAGATCCCGCCACTGCACTCCAGCCTGGTGACAGAGCAAGACTCCATCTCAAAAAAAGAAAAAAAAGAGAACATGGAACAACAGCTGAGGGAGTAGGAAGAGACCCAAGAGGGGGTATCCCCAGAGGCTGAGCACAGCACGTATTTCTAGAAGGAGGAAGTGCTGAAGAAAAAGCACTTTGGAACTGCACATGGAGATCATGATATGAGGAGACAATTTTGGGTTAGCCTTTGGCAAGTCACAGGGCCTCAGCTTCCCCATCTGTAAAATGGTTCTTTAGAGATTCCCCAGCTAGGACACCCATGGCAGACCCTATCCCCAGCACCATCTAGGACCATTGGCTGGACCAGGTTTACCACCCCATCCCTCTCCTGTCTTCTTACCCTGCCCTTGGCCCCAACCCCCACCTCCCACCACTTACCTCACTAGAATTTTCTATTCATAACCTGTAATTTTGTCTCTAAGGGGTTCCCTCACCTTGAACCAGTCTGGGGGGTTGGGGGCAGTGTTACTGTAATACTTGTCCTCGACTCCTGAGATGCACCCTTCACTCAGCCAATATGCTCAATTGCTCTCCTCTGGCCCAGGCCCCTGGCTCAGGCCCAAAAACCAAGTAGGTTGCAGCTGCAGCTGGAGAGAGGAAAGAGGCTGCCTATTAACCCTCTAGAACCCAAAATCTCAGAAACTGCTTTGGAGAGGAAGACTGGGCACCACGGGTGGGTAGTGGGACTAGGGCTTGAGCTGCAGATTAAGGTGCAGGAGCCTGGAGCGGGGAGGCAGGAGACTTGGAGCGGGGAGGCAGGAGACTTGGGGCTGGAGGCCTCATGTAGGGGTTAGGGAATGAGGTCTGTGGATTGCGAGTTGGAGAGCGAGGCTTGAAGCTAAGCCTGGGGAACTTGGGACTGGGGTCTGGGATTAGGAACCAGAAAACCATGTACTGGGGCTGAGGGTGGCCATCACACTGACCCTGCCGGAAGAGCCCAGACCGTGTCCCTCAGGTCCTCTGGGAACTGGAAAGCACCAGGGAAGGGACGGCTAAATGAAGTGGAGCCCTCTACAGGGCTGAGCCAGGGAGGTCCCAGGAAGCCAGGCACAGGAAGGGCTCCCTCAGTCTGGGCGCACTGGCTCACGCCTGTAATCCCAGCACTTTGGGAGGCCGAGGCGGGTGGATCACCTGAGATCTGGAGTTTGAGACCAGCCTGACCAACATGGCGAAACCCCGTCTCTAAAAAAAAAATAATAAAATAAAATAAAAAATTTAAAAAAAAAGGAAGGGCTCCCTAAAGAGAGTACAGTAAGGGGCCCAGAGGTGGGCAGTGTCCAGGAAAGGTTGGGGCCAGAGAAAAGAATCCTTCAAGGGGGCAGGAGTAGAGGCCCAATGGGTGATGGGCAGTGCCTAAAACTATCACAGCAGAGCTGGAGGTTTTCTTTTTTTTTTTTTTTTAATAAACTTTATTTATGTTTTTTGTTGTTGTTTTGAGAGGGAGTCTTGCTCTGTCGCCAGGCTAGAGTGCACTGGCACGATCTCAGCTCACTGCAACCTCCACCTCCCAGGTTTAAGCGACTCTCCTGCCTCAGCCTCCTGAGCAACTGGGACTATAGGCAAGCGCCACCACACCCAGCTAATTTTTGTATTTTTGGTAGAGACGGGGTTTTATCATGTTGACCAGGATGGTCTCGATCTCTTGACCTCGTATCGGCCTGCCTCCACCTCCCAAAATGCTGGGATTACAGGCATGAGCCACCGTGCCCGATCCAGAGCTGGAGGTTTTCTAGAGAAGCCAGTTCAGAGTGACTCACCTGTGTTCCCCAGAAGCCAGTCCTATAAGACGTTCCATGTGAAAAAAGATCCTGTGGTGAAATAAGTTCGGGAAATGCTGATCGTTCTCTTTGCCTCTCAGAGACTCTCAATGCACATTTGCCATTTATTTGCATGGCGAGGTTCCTGCAGTAAAGAAAGTTCCCATTTCATCACAGAGGCCTGTTTTAAAAAATAAAATAAAATAACTAACACCTAGTAACATCCACAAAATAGACTGAGGAACACTGGGCTACCTGAGCTCCCATTTTACTTTCAGAAAAACTGAAGCTCAGAGAACAGAGGGATCTGCCAGGACACAGAATGGAGTCAAACCCCGGGTGTCCCATCTTCAAGGAACATCAGAGCTGGGAGAGCCCATTTGGGCTACCTAGCCCCTCCCACCTCCATCTCCACTCCATGTACAGATAACTCCACTGAGGATGGGAGACAGGCCGTGATTCCTCTTCTACAAGGTGCTAGACAGAGCCCCATGACTCGACTCAGTCTGGTGCCCTGACATACTACACAGCCTCCAAAACCGGATCACCCTCCCTGGGCAGGCCTGCACCCTCCGCACAGGGCTGGCTTCTACTGACCATCCTTCCACCTTCCCTCACCTTTCTATCCTGTTCCTGGGAAATGTATGGGCTCCAGTGTGCCCTAATACCTTTCCCAAAATCATTTTGTCTCCCCAGCAAGCTCGTAAGCCCCATGGTTTCTGGGCTCTGGTTTCTCCTGTTCCCTTCCCAGTGTTGAGCACAGCGCCGGGCATAGACTCCAGTCTGACCCCTTAGGATGGAGCTTCATTACCAGTATGGAGGAGGCAGGACATGCTATGGGGCTGCACTGTGTGATTTGGTTTTTTGTTTTTTGTTTTTTGTTTTTGTTGTTGTTTTTGAGACAGAGTCTACCTCTTGTCGCCAGGCAAGAGTGCAGTGGCGTGATCTCGGCTCACTGCAACCCCCACCTCCTGGGCTCAAGCGATTCTCCTGCCTCAGCCTACCAAGTAGCTGGAACTACAGGCACATGCCACCACGCCCAGCTAATTTTTGTATTTTTAGCAGAGACAGGGTTTCACCATGTTGGCCAGGATGGTCTCATCTCTTGACCTTATGATCTGCCCACCTCAGCCTCCCAAAGTGCTGGGATTACAGGTGTAAGCCATCAAGCCCGGCTGCACTGTGTGGTTTTTAAACTAGCAAAATTCTGGTGACCTGTCCCCTGAATGCAGGGCAAGGGAACAAAGGGTCCCCAGAAGGAGGGCCACAGCTGGGGCTGGGCTTTTTTTCATGTGTTCCTCCAAGCTAGGCTGTTATAACAAGAAAACTAGAGCAGGCTGGGCATGTGCTCAGGAGAGAATTTTGTTCACGCCTGGGGGAAAGACATAGAGACACAAGTGAGGAGGCTCATCCCCAGCCATCCAAACCCCAGGCAGACCCGGCAGGCTCCTCCCTGTCTCCCTGCATAGCTACCATTTCCTGTTGAGAGATTGCCCTTTGGGAAAAGCTTTCCTCCTTCCTTCATTCCTTCCGTCCTTGGAAAGGTCTGGAGCAGACCTTGTCTAGCCCCACTATCTCTGTGGAAAGGGGACGGGGGCAAGAAGGACAGGGAACATTGTCTACCTGCATCCCGTCCCCTTTGGCCGGGCACTGCTCATTCTCCGTCTCCTCAAAGGGCTTCTTGCCCAAGATCCCCAGGGAGCAGAGGCTCTAGGCAGCAGGCCCCTCCCCCTGCCCCAGCCTCCAGCCTCCAGCGGCAGAGCTCAGGTCCTAACTCGATTGTCCCTGTTAATTACTGCGTGAGCCGGCCGGCAGAGTAAACAGGCGGCCTAGGAGATCCTCTCATCCTCATCAATCTCTGCCCTGGTCAGGCCTCCGTCAGCAATGGGACTGGCAGGAGGCGCCAAGGGGGCGGGGAAGGGGGGCTGTGGGGCCAGGGTCATGTCAGGTCCTAGCAAAAAAGCTGATTGCCCCACAGTGGGAGCCAGAAGAGGAGAAGGTGGCAGGAGGTGATGTGGATACATTGACATTGAGACTTGGGAAACCTTTAGGATAGGGGCAAAAGTAATGATTGGAAGTCGACTGGTCTGGCTCTGGCATGTACTAGCTGTGTGACCTTGGACGGGTCACTGAACCTCTCTGTGCCTCGGTTTCTTCATCTGTAAAATGGGAATAATAATTCTACATGCTTTGTTGGGTTATTCCGAAAATTAAATGAGTTAAAACATGTAAAACACTGAGAAGGGGGACAGCAGATTGCTGGTGCTATGCAAGTGTTTGTTAATATGATGGGACCAGAAAACAAAGGACTGCAGGAGACATCGATTTAGCAATTTCCCAGGAAACTCCCTCTTACAGTCAGCAGTGTTCTCAGCTAGTTAGGCTCCAAGCTGGGGGCAAAACCTGCAAACCGGGCAGGGCTTAAGAGGGCAGATTGTTACCTAACCTCCCTGGGCCTGTTTTCTGTCTGCAAAATGGGGACCGTAACCGTGCCTATGTCGTGGAGCAGTCGTGAAGATTAAATGAGAAGGTGCGCGCAAAGATGCTATGAATGCGGTAGCCAGGAGCAATCCCTCAATAAAGACAGGGCAGCCAGCTCCTATCGCTTTCCTAGCGTTAGCTGTGCACAACCCCTTACCCACCCCAGCCAACAAAAGGCCTGCACGGTGGCAAGAAGGAGGTATAAGTGCTGTTATTTCTCTCCCGGAGAAGGGGAGGAGGCCCCCGTCCCCGCCCAGGCACTCCAGCCCCTCGTCCGGCCCCTCCTAGGCACAGAGCTGGATGGGCCGCTAGGAGCCGCGGCGGGGACGTGGAGGGTCGTGTGCGTCACGGGAGCGGCCCCAGGACTGAGGCGCATAACCCCTGGGAGCCAATCAACAAAGGTTCTCGTCTCTGCAGGCCAGGAGGGCGAAGTGCAGCTCCCGACCCACCGACGTACTTACGGCGCCTGCGCTGTGGCGAGGGTCTCTCGGAGAAGCGAGCACATTTGACATTGGGGGGAGCTTTAGGATCCGGGCAAAAGCAATGATTGGAATTCTACTGGCCTGACTCTGGCACCTACTCGCTGTGTGACCTTGGACAGGTTACTGAACCTCTCGGTGCCTCGGGGATACTTGCGGTGCCTGAGAGGGTCTCAAGTAAAGGAACCCGGCTGAGGCTCCACTCGCCCGGCGTCTTCCCACTCACCCCTCGCCATCTGGGCTTCAAGCTTTGGCCTCCGCCTGGGTGGGGGGCACTCGAGGATCGGGCGTCCAGGGAACTGAGGGAGGAAGCGGGCAAGGGAAGGAAGGGTGGAACTTTGCCGGGCTGGAAGCAGGGGATCCTGGTGCCACGACACTGGGCGAGCGGATTCCACTGTGCAGAGTTGGGGGTTCCCTTGAGACTGGACCTGCTCTGACCCCAAATATCCCGTCCGAAGTTCCACGGGGCTCCAGCAGTTTCACGGAGGACCTACACCCGCCTGGGCCAGGGCTCGTCCACCCTGCAGCGGAAAACTGGGAGCCCAGGGTCCGCAGACGACCTAGCGAAGCAGGGTCGACCCCGTGAATCAGGTGTTTCAGGCAGCGAGTGGCGCGAGCTTCCATAGTGCGGGGGAAGGCGCCTGCTTTCTCGGTCGGGGCCGCAAGTCCGCGGCACATCCAGCTCCAGGGTGGCAGCCAGTGGCCTGGACTTCCAGATGGTGTCCTCATAGGCAGGGACCGAGGACAGTTAGGGATGCCATATGGGAACGCAGCTCCCCTCCACGGCCCGGTCCAGCCGGGGGTCCGAAACACCATGTGGCGATCCCTCAGTTCCCAGCACCTGGCCCGACCCCGGACGCAGAGTCAACTCAGGGGAGTCTCCTGCCGGGCTGTAAGGACTGGGGGGCCGCGGGAAAACACGCGAGGCGACGCGCTCGCGACCGCCCCAAACCCATCTTTTCTTCGGGAACTGCCCTCAAGACTTGGGGCGGGAAAGTGGGGCCGCTTCCCCGCACTCCCCCTGCCCTCCGGCACCCAGCACGTGGTAGGGGAGGAAAGGCGAAGCGTCTACAAGGCCTCGACTTGGAAACAGGACTCGGAAAATCCCGATTTCCTGTCCCAATAAGATGCCTTTGCTGTGGCCGCGTCCGCTCTTGCCTCGGACAGCGGGGGCTCTGGGGACCGCTTGCTGGGCCAGCTCTTTCCGCGGCCCCGCCCTGGATTTGAGTTTCTTGTTTTAAATCTGGGAATTAGTCTCTCCTGGAGTCCTGGGGGGAGAGTATGGCGAGGAAAGACGAAGTTGAGGGCCTGAGGCCATTGACGGTGAAGAGGCAAGGAGCGGAGCCCTCAGGCCGACCCTCTGCCTCCCACCTGGGCTCGAATGCAGGTTGCCCCAGGCCAGAGGAAGCAGCGTCGTAAAAGTGACACATTTAGCTGGGTTTGAGTTTCCGACACGGATTAAAACCGAGGGTGAAGATTTACACTCAAGGTCTGCAGCGCACTCCCGGAGCCTGTTCACTTCCTTCCTCCACCCACTTGCGGCCTTGCCCGACCCTGAGACTCTTAAAAATGCTGTCCCGGCCCGGCGCGGTGGCTCCTGCCTGTAATCCCAGCACTCTTGAGAGGCCGAGGCGAGCGGATCACAAGGTCAAGAAATCGAGATCATCCTGGCCAACATGGAGAAATCCTGTCCCTACTAAAAATGCAAAAATTAGCTAACTGTGGTGGCTCGCTCCTGTAGTCCCAGCTACTCGAGAGGGTGAGGCAGGAGAATCTCTTGAACCCCAGAGGCAGGGGTTACAGTGAGCCAAAATTGCGACACTGTACTCCAGCCTGGGTGACAGAGCAAGACTTGATCTCAAAAATAAGTAAATAAATAACGCTGTCCCACAGTCCTGCCATCCCCAGAACTGCAGCCGGTGCTCAGCCTTAGGATGGTTCCAGGCTCACTGATCGCAGCCTCCACGAAACCACAGGGACCCACGCCGCTTGTAAATCTACTCATCTGTAAAATGGGAATAATGGAACCTCCCTCCTAGAGTTGTGAGAAGTTAAAGAATATAGAGGCCGGTTGTGGTGGCTCAGGCCTGTAATCCCAGCACCTTGGGAGGCCAAGGTGGGTGGATCATTTGAGATCAGGAGTTGGAGACCAGCCTGGTCAACATAGAAACCCCGTCTCTACTAAAAATACAAAAATTAGCTGGCGGGTAGTGGTGAGCGCCTGTAATCCCAGTACTGAAGAGGCTGAGGTAGGAGAATCGCTTGAGCCGGGGAGGCAGAGGTTACCGGTGAGCCGAGATCATGCCACTGAACTCCGGTCTGGACGACAGAGTGAGACCCTGTCTCAAAAAAAGAATATAGAGCACTTAGTAGTTCCTGACACGTAGTAGGTGCTCGAAACGTGTTATAAATAACAGCCTGGCGTGTTGGCTCAGTAATCCCAGCATTTTGGGATACCAAGAGGGGCGGAGGCAGGCGGATCACTTAAGCTCAGGAGTTTGAGACCAGCCTGGCCAACAGGGTGAAGCCCCGTCAATTGAAAAAAAAATTTTAAGCCGGGAGGGGTGGCGCGCGCCTGTAGTACCAGCTACTCTGAGGTGGAGGGGAGGCTGCGCGCGGGTAGAGGTGGGTGGAGGGAAGGGCTGCAGTGAGAGGAGGATCGCTTGAGCCCGGGAGGCAATTGTAGTGCGCTCTGATCGCGACACTGCACTTCAGCTTGGGCGACAGACCGAAACCCTGAATCAAAAAAAAAAAAAAAAAAAAGGGCAATGATGGCTTTCACTTTTTGCAGATGCACGTGCCACGTTTTACCTGCAGAAGCTCAACTAACCCGTCAAACAACCTGATCAGGAAGGTATTTCTATTTATTTTCTTGTCATAGATGAAGAAACTGAGACCTACAGAGGGGGCCTAACTTTCTCAGGCCGCTTCAGCTAGGAAAATGCCAAGCTGAATTCGCACGCAGGGCACTCTCCTCCTCCACAGTAAGGGGCCGAGAAGGGGGCCAAGCCGCGCAATGGCGACTCCACGTTCCCTCGGTAGCCTAAGGAGTGAATTCTCGGCGAAGCGACCAAAAATAGCAACCAGCAGGAGCAGAGACCCAAGAGTCAGCCCCTACCCGACCCAGCCAGAGATGGGGGGAGAACTGGAGGGGGTCGCGCGGGGGCGGGGCCAAAGCCCCACGTGCGCTGCCTGCAGCCTCTTCAAGAAGCCCTTTGTCGCGAGCAGCCGCGTTCGTGCCGCACTCGGCGGCTTAAAATAAAGACAATGTTCCCAGCCTCCCTGCGGCTAAATCGGGCGCGGGTGCGGGGGTGGTGAGCTAGCCGGGCGGGAGCGCTTCTCCCGGCCCTACCTCTCCTCTCCCCTCCTGCCTCAGTTTCCCCACTGATAAGGGGGACCTAGCCAAGTCCGGGCGGGGAAGTCAGAAGAGTGATACAGTAAGTGGAGGGGGGGCGCCATCCCCCTGCCTCCGCGACTGCACAGACTTTAAAAGGAAGCCGCGTGGGACAGAGGGGGGCACTCAGGAGGAGGCAGGGGAAAGCTGGACACCCTCCCCACCCGCCCACAAAATAAGTGTTTTTATTTCTAAAGGGACGTGTGCAGAGGCGGTGGGAGAAGAGAAGAGGGAGACCAAGGAGATTGGGGGGAGGTGGCAAAGAGGGAGCCTGATTCAGACTCGGAAATGGATGTTGAGCGTGGAGGCCTAACACCCCCACACTGAGCCACGTGTACGCGCACAAGTACACGCAGCCCCACCGCGCCGCGTAAGCGCAGCGGCAAACCCAGGGCAGCCCAGCAGGGGGCATCCGGAGTCCGCGCCCAAGGGCAGGGACTGGTCAAGTTCTGACCCAACGCTGACGGTCTGGGTGACCCTGGGAGGGAAGGGGGATGCTCACTTACATTTCTCTCCAAGCTGCAGCCTCTGCTTGGCCTCGGCAGGGAGGAGGACTGGGTGCCTGCTGGAGCCCCAGCTGGCTTTGAGAAGCACAGATGCCCCCACATGTACCTGCCACGTGTGCCCACCAGTAGCTGCTGACCAAACCCCAGGAACTCCAGTGGCAAACCCCAGGAACTCCGGTTTCAGCTCCACTTGGCTCCATTGGCCAAAGGGGCTTCTGGGTGAGAAAGCACCAGGTTACCCTCAGGCATCACCGTTGGCGGGGGTCCTTGGTGGGAAAATGGGTAGGGGAAACCCCTACCCCAGACTCCAGAGCCCTGGGCTTAGAGCCAAGGGGCCCAGTCCAAACACCTGCCACCACGTTCATCACACCTCTGCTCTTCAGTTTTCTCAACTACAAAATGGGGATATTGATGGTCCCATTCCTTCCTGCTTCTCACCCCAGGACATCGGCGCAGCCCAGTGGGGTAAAGAATACAGCAGCCCCAGCAGGCAGTCCCTGAAGCCTCCAACTCTCCTCCCCAGCCTGCTTCTGGGGAGGTCTCTAGGGACAAACGGAGGCGGTTCAGGACCCAGGTCTCTATGGCAAACGGACCCGCCTCCCCTCCCGCCCCCCATCCCCAGAGGTTCTGTCTCTGAGGAAGCTCAGCACAGAAATCCAAACCAACCTGGAAGGGAGAGATGCTGGCCTAGCAGTAGGGCTGAGGGAGATGGGGAGGAGGGCTCATCTCCTCCCAGGTACACACCTGTGAGCCCTGAGTGGGAGTCAGGGAAGACAGAGTTTGACAAGCTGGGAGGAGAGCTGTCTCTCGGCCTGTCTGTCTGTCTGTCTTCCAAGTGGAAGCTTGGGGTGGAGCAGGCAGGTAGAGGCTGCCTCCCTTGTCAGAATTAGCAAGTTCCACAGTTGGGTAACACTCAGCCACTCATCAAATACAGACACACGTGTGCACATGCGTCCTGCTCCAGAACGATAGGGCACACCTGCGTTTACACAGGCTGCATGGTGACACAAGTACACAGGGACACACACATGCGGGGCACTCAGCTGCACATGGGGCAGGCACCTGGTCCCCTCCTCATCCCTGAGAAGCAGACACCCATATACCCTCACAAGGGGCTGCGCGGAAACCAACGCTGGATCACAGAGCCCAGCACATGGGCACGTTCGCTCAGCCCCTGGGCGGGTGCACCAGCCCTCTGGGTCTGTTCCAAGTTGGAGCCTCTCACGTGAGACCCAATGTGTCATTTCCAAACAGAAGGAATCTAGCTCTCTCGCAGCAGGGAGGAAGAGCAGGGTGTGTAGCTGGGTGGGTGGGTGCGTGGGCGTGTGCAGGGGGGAGGGCATGTATGCAAGGGAAGCAGGCATGTGAATATAGGGGCATGTGTGTTGGGGCATGGTGCACATGGGTTGAGGGCTCTAAGGTTGGGTGGGGGGAAGAAGCCTGAGGAAACAGTGTGCCTTTGTGAGGGTGTGTGTGTGCCGCCGGGTCTGTGCAGTGGGTGTGGGTGTTTGTCTCCCTGTATCCGCCTTCTCTCCCGTCCTGGACTTTTAGCCTTCCTGGGCTCGCCTTCCTCATGTCCTTCCTCCTCCGTCTTGGGGCTCAAACTGGGTGCCCTGGTGGAGGAGGGGGGCACACTCCAGAACCTAGTCCAACCCCAGACGCTGCCTGAGGCTTCCCTCCAGCTCCCCTCCCTTCCTTTTCTCCCTTTCCTCCCTCCCTCTCTTTCCCTTTCTCCCTCCCCCCTAAGGCTGGCGTGCCAGGGGGTGGGACATGCCAATCACTGGCTGTGCCTCTCCCGCTGCCAGCACAGGGCGCAGCTCCCCCCGGGAGCCAGGTGTTTGGGTCCCTGGAGACGCCGCCGGCCCCCAGGGAGGCAGTGGGGCTGAGGACCCTACAGACCCCTCTTCAGCCCCATGGTGAGTACATTTGGGAGGGTTTGGGAGGGGCCGCACTGAGCTGAAGGGTAGGAGGGTCCTGGGGAGTGGGGGAGGGCAGGGACCAGGATGAGATGGAAATAGGGATGGACCCCCAGAGATAGGAGGGGGCCAGGGAGGGGTCTAGAGGGCAAGGGGACTCTGTAGCATTGCACATTGGCTGCTCTGAACACCCGCCTCCTAGCTTTGAGTGGATATATCTAATGTTTTTCTGGGCTTCAGCTGGCAGAGGAGATGGAGACCCCCTCAGGAAACTGGACCTGAGGCCCAGAAGGGATGAGGCTGCCTGGTAGCAAGCAGAGCCCCCAGCACCCTAGGGGCAGAGTGGAAGGGCAAGGGGCCAGGAAGCAGCCCTTGCCACCAGCAGCCTGTGGGAAGTTGACCCCCCTTTTTATGGGGGTCCCAGTCCCAAAACCTCCTCCTCTCCTCTCTCAGGGCACCCTGAAACCCACCATCCCCATCCACCTCAGCTCCCCCGAGATGGACTGAATCAGGCTGCTGGCCAGACAGAGAAGCTGGAAGTCAAGGTGGGTGTCGGGCCAGAAGCCAGCAGGAGACCAGGCAAAGAGCCTCAGGGCTCTCTGGGGACAAATGGGCTTGGATGGCCACCCTGGCCAGGGAACGTGGCCCTGAAGTGTGCAGGGGCCCAGAGGACCCTCTTTATGTTTCTAGTATGTTGGGCTCCCCCAGGGCGGGTCTCAGTCCTACATCCAGGCAATGCATGGATACCAGTGGGCACCCATGCCAGGTACTCACCCAGTAACCCCACACTGCACAATGTGGGGAAGGACTAGGGGCCAGGAACTCTGGTTCTTGTAGAGCTGACAGCTCCTGGGCAGGCCAGCTGGGGAGGGGGTCGTCAGCTTTCATAGCTCATTCCGACATCTGCAGCTTAGAGGTTATCAGAGCCAATGAAGAGGGGTTAGAGGGGTTCACCTCTTTGCACAAAACACACCTGCAGCTCCCCCCAGACTGATGTAAGACCCCTGCCCAACTGGTTGGAAGGAGCCGGGCAGTCTCCCACAGCCAGGCAGTCTCCTTGCCAGGGGTATTCAGCTGTTCACCGCGCTGTCTGTCAGATGAGAGTTCTCTGCCCTCTGACCTCAGCCGCCAGGCAAGCTGCAGTCACTATCGCTGCTGAGATATCAAAGGGGAGGAGGCAGGGAAATGGGCTGCAGAAGATGTGAGTCTTGGCTCACAGCTGACAGCTGGCGGTTGGAGTTCTGAGAGCTGGATCCTGAAGTGTAATGGGAGTCCAAAGTGTCAAGAAGGGGCTAAACAAAGGTCATGGCAGACTAGAAAGGAGCCTTTCCATGGTACAGAGGCACTGAGGCTGAGAAAGGGCAAAGGACATGCTTATGGTCAGAGAAGGGGGCTTGGACCCCTTCTCCGCATCCTTAGCACAACGCTGCGCTGCCGCCTCCATGAGCAGGAAGATGGGGTGGGAGAGCAGGGGGTGCAGCCAGCTCTGAGAGGCAGAAGCTTGGGCTCCCAGCAGGCGGGGAGAGGTGGGTGAATTGCGCTGGGTTTCTGCTCTGCTGTGGTGCCATGGTGATGCCTACAGGGATGGAGGAGGGAGGGAGAAAGAAGAAAGGAAATGAGGAGAGGAGTGCAAGGAGCCAGGAGCAGGGGGCACTCAGATTAGAGGATGAGGGACCCAGCACCTCTGATGCCACACTGGCAGAATAAGGTCTAGGGTCCAGCTGCTCATGCCCAGGCTCTGGCATGGACTGGCCAAAGTCAGGCAACTGCTTAAGATCCATCATGGGGGAGCAAATTTGGCAGTGATTCCAGGGCTGATGCTCCTCTTCCGGCTAAGCGGTGCGTTTTATGTAGCATTTAACTGATGGCTGCTGCCCTCCACAACGCTAGTTGGCCCTTCCAATGGCAACTGTTGAGCCTAAAGAAACATGATCAATTCTATTTGTTTCCTCCCTCATTCCCAAAGCCAGGCATCAGGGGTGGAAGTTTTGTGCACCTTAATGGGTCAAAAGCTACCATCAGATAAAAGTTAACCCCAAGGGGAGAGCTGCCTCGCATGGCTGGCTTCTGGGTTCAGGCCCTAGCAGAAGGGACCAGAGAGGAGGCCTGGCCAGAAGGAGTGCCCTCCTCATTGCATATGTGTGGCCTCAGGTGCCCAACCCCACAGCCCCTCTGCAGAACTCCCACTCCCCAATATTGTCCCCTCTCCCTAACCAGCACACTACCAGCTTCCAGGCCCAGAATCACAAGATGGCTCCGCTCCTCCCTCCTAAATCTCTTCCCGGCATCCCCTCATTCTCTCCCTCCCCTCCGGTACTCCCTGGCCAGTGGTAAGTTCAGAAAAGCCTGGCGTTCAGGAATCCTTCTCCCCATTTCTCTTTCCCTGCTGCCTCCAGTGGTTCTCTCCCCTCCCAGTTCCTCTCACAAGGCAGATCCCCAGCCCCTGGGGATTGGTCCTGGGCACTGGCAGTCAGCAGTCTGGCCTGCTGCAATAAAGGCTCTGACCTCATCCCTTAACCCTTTGAGCCCAGGCTAACATTGTCCTTACCCCGGAGACAAATGCCATGGCATGTCTATGTCTGTCCTGCCACCTCACTTAGCTTCCCTGCAGCCAGTCGAGGCAGGTTTCCTTGGTCCCTTTTACAGACAAGGATGCTCTTGGCTGGTTTTCTCCTAAGCTCTCCAGCCACGCAGAGCCTCATTCAGAGGAGCAGGACCTAGCAGATGAGATGTGGGAGCTCAAGACAGAAGCAGGGCCTCTGGACCATGCTCTGGAGCTGGTCCTGACCCCCAACAGGCTCATCCTCAGTCTCCAGGGTCTGAAGTTGAGTACACACGCGTACATTTATTCCACAGGTATTTATTGAGCAACTACTATGTGCAAGCCCTGGGAGAAAGCATTGAACGAGACAGACACAGCCCCTACCCTGCCCTTTAAAGAGCTCCAGTAGACCCACCCTCTTCCCACAGCGCTGTTAACACACGTCACACAGATACACGACAGACACTGCCACGCAACAAGAACACCAGATTCTGAAAGAAGGACGATTGCTCATCGTTAACTGATTCAAAGTAGGACTTGGGTGAGCTAGTTGAAGTGGGCAAGGAGGCTAACAAACCCCGCATCCCTCAAGAGCAGGAGTAGGGTTTGAGAGGTTGGTCTCCAACACAGACGCCCTATATCCAAATCCCGATTGCATCACTGATGAGCTGAAAGGTCCTTCAGGCCTTGAAGCCTCAGGTTAGGCCTTTTGCAAATTGAGGATAACAGGACCTATTTCATAAGGAGTTGTAACAGGTAGATAGATCAAGTATAGAATGTCTATGTATATAATGCTTAGAGCCATGTCTGGTGTATAGTACGCAGTCAGTAAATATCAGTTACTTTAATATTAGTAATTTTTCTTTGCTACTATTTATGTATGAGGAGTATTAGTAATATTATTAAAGGCTTCTTTTTTTTTTTGAGACAGAATCTCACTCTGTCGCCCAGGCTGGAGTGCTGTGGCACAGTTTCGGCTCACTGCAACCTCCGCCTCCCAGGTTCAAGCGATTCTCCTGCCTCAGCCTTCTGAGTAGCTGAGATTGCAGGCCATGCGCCACCACGTCTGGCTAATTTTTTATTTGTAGTAGAGGTGGGGTTTCTCCATGTTGGTCAGGCTGGTCTCACACTCCCAACTTTGGTGATCCACCTGCCTTGGCCTCCCAAAGTGCTGGGACTACCGGCGTGAGCCACCATGCCCGGCCTGAGCCCCTAATATCTTAACCCTCAGCCCAGGGCTGGTCTCCTCAGGGATCTGCCACAATCCCGGGAAACCAGGTTCTTTCACAGCCGCCATGTCACTGATCCCACAGGAGCCTTGAACAGGTAGAAGATTGCCCCGAATCGACAGCTAAGGACTAGATGCAGCAGGGACGAGAGCATGTCTCCAGGAACCTTCTCCTGAGCTCCTTCTCTGTCCAAGACAGGGCTAGTGGGTGAGGACCTCTAATTATAGAGGAAAGGCAGAGTCTTTCATTGATGGATCTTTTCTTTGGCTGTGTCATAGGGGGTGGAAGATCTAGATGGTGGCAAGAACCAGGTTCCAATTCTCTGGAACCTCAGGTGACTTCTCTACCTGCCACCTGTCCCAGGTGAGAGGCCTCAGCCCTCATCCAGCATAGGTGGGGCAGAGGGGGTTTGCCGAGGTGGACAGAACCCAGGCTCAGAACCCGCAGATCTGGGTGAGAATCCCACTTCCACCACTTCTGTTGGTCCATCAGAAATCTACTTTGCACCCTGAGCATCAATGCCCTTATCTCTAATATAAAGATAGAGACCCCCATTGGATGTCCACTGAGCTGTCCTGTGGTCAAGGGAAATAATACATATTAAGTGCCTGGCATACAGGAGGCATTAATTACGGTGGTTAGCAATATGACTATTAAAATGGGAGATGGCTGGGCACTGTGGCTCATGCCTGTAATCCCAGCACTTTGGGAGGCTGAGGTGGGCAGATCACAAGGTCAGGAGTTCAAGACCACCCTGACCAACATGGTGAAACCCCGTCTCTACTAAAAATACAAAAATTAGCTGGGCATGGTGGCACACTCCTGTAATCCCAGCTACTCATGAGGCTGAGGCAGGAGAATCACTTGAACCCAGGAGGCGAAGTTTGCAGTGAGCTGAGATAGTGCCACTGCACTCCAGCCTGGGGACAGAGCAAGACTCCATCTAAGAAAAAAAAAAAAAATGGGAGACTTGGAAGGGATCTCCAGACATCTAGGCAAGAGACTGCTGGCTTCCTCACTTCCAAAGACCCTTCTAGGAGAGGTCCTCACCTCCAAGGACTCCTTAAGTTACTTCTTCTCGCAAGCACCCCTGTTCTGAAAGCATTTTTTAATTCACCAAAGTTAGAGCTAGCCTTGTGATGGGCACCATGTTCCCACCTTGAGTTGATGTCATTTCCAGTCCCAAGTGAGAAAATGTAAGTGAGCCTTCAGCCCTGCCTCAGGGACTTGGGTTCTTTCTGTTCAGCGCCTCGAGTTGTTGGTTTCAGGACTCTGTAAAATCTCCCAGACACCAGGCTTGTCCAACTCCTCCATTACAGATGAGCAAACTGGAAACCAGAGTAGGGTTGTGCCTGGGGTCTGGAGGGGCAGGGGCATGGTAGGAAGAGGCTGGGCGTTGGATCAGGAGAAGGAACAGAGAATAACAACAGGGCTGGGTGCAGTGGCTCGTGCCCATAATCCCAGCACTTTGAGAGGCCGAGGCGGGTGGATCACCTGGAGCCAGGAGTTTGAGACCAACCTGGCCAACATGGTAAAATCCTGTCTCTCCTAAAAATTCAAAACTTAGCTGAGTGTGGTGGCAGGAGCCTATAATCCCAGCTCCTCAGGAGGCTGAGTCAGGAGGACCGTTTGACCGAGGAGACAGAGGTTCCAGTGAGCTGAGATCACACCACTGTACTCCAACCTGGGCGATGGAACAAGACTTCGTCTCAAAAAAAAAAAAAACCAGAATAACAACAAGCCTTTAACTCTTTAACTGATTCAGGGCCAGGCACTCTGAACAGCATCATCCCCATCAGCTGGGGATGAGGGCAGCAGGGGAATGAAAGGTTGACTGGTTGCTGATCGCACAGCCAGGAAGGGTCAGCGTCAAGCTTCAAACCCAAAACTGGGAACTACAAAACCAGGACTAGGGTGAATCAAGGGAGGCATAAAAATACTCACCAATCAAGAGAAATAATATCATAATAATATTTTTTAAAATCAAACAGCAAATTCCAGCCCACAGGCTGGCTGCCTATATTTGTAAACAAAGTTTTATTGGAACCAGGGCCAAGATTAGGGTGAGGTGAGTGAGAAAGGGCTGGGCAAGCGCAGGGTGAACCCTGTCGTTAACATGTTGTTCATCTTGGATTTTTTTTTTTTTTGCATTAACTTCCATTTTTGTAAATATTACATTAAAATATTTTCTTGATTACTAAGTTTTGGGACACCTGTTACATTTTGCATTGGAAGCAAATGCCTGATTCACCTTACCCTAGCCCTAGCCTGCTGAGAGGTATAAGGAGTGAAGTTTTTGTTCTTTGGGTTTTTGTTTTTGTTTTTGTTTTTGAGACAGGGTCTCACTCTGTCACCCAGGCTGGAGTACAGTGGCATGATCTTGGCTCACTGCAAGATCACTCCTGGGCTCAAGTGATCCCCCTGCCTCAGCCTCCCAAGTAGCTGGGACCACAAGCGCCCACCACCACGCTCGGCTAATTTTTGTATTTTTAGTAGAGACAGGGTTTCGCCAAGTTGCTGAGGCTGGTCTCAAACTCCTGAACTCAAGTGATCCATCTGCCTCAACCTCCCAAAGTGCTAGGATTACAGGTGTGAGCCAGCACAACAGGCCTAAGAAGTCAAGCTTTAAAGGCTGTGCCACACCCAGGCAGATGAGAGGCCCCTGCAGCAGGGTAGGGTGCAGCCTCTTAGGCTAGCAAGCTCCTCTTGTCTACCTCAGCCTTTGCAGGTCTTTGCCCAGGGTCCAGGGCTACAGAGCTGATCCAAACTACCAGGAAGGTATGGTATGAGAGGAAGTACCCAATCTAGGAACCCGGAGACCTTGGACTAGACAATGCCTTCTTTTTTTTTTTT